TTTGTACAAATAGCTTTATTCATTTATATAACAGGTATGGTGAAGCTTTCCCTGTTTCAGCCGAAGTTCTTGATTCTGGATTTTGCATCCCTATAGGGAAAGCTAAAGTATGTTTCATGCATCTTACATAATGGTATGGAGTTTATTAGCCTCCTCATTGTGCAGAACTGGTATATGCTAATCATTTTTCCGTTTGGCGTGTACAGATTGAGAGAGAAGGAAAACATGTAACTATTACGGCATTTTCAAAGATGGTGGGCTTTTCTCTCAAGGTTGGTCGGCCTGTCTTCGTGCATTCTTCAGCTTTTTAACATTTTTAGCTCTGTACAACGAATACTTCAACTAAAGTAGTGTATCCGATAAAAACTCTAAATCCATACACGTAAATGCTAAAATTGTATCACTACGTAAAAAAAATGCACTAATATAATTTGATGTCATCAGAACTTCTGTTAGGTAAAGTGTATTTACTACAATTTTACTGATATTACATGTTATTAAATGTTGTATAGAAAAATATAATTTAATAAAAGAGAATTCAACGCATTTAACGTGCTAACACAACCTATAAATGCACGGGCAAAAACTAGTAGTGTTAGAGGAGCAATAAATTTCATGTTTTTTTGAATAATGAAATTACACTACAAAAAGAAATTCGATTCGGAAGCTGGAAATGGATTATAAATTCGTAACATAGGTAGCAAATCGGACATAGCACCGCATTCATCAGGATCTTCCCAAGTTTTAGCAGAGACTTGGAATTTTGAGAAAGAGCCATATCAGTCGACTTAACCATGCATCTGACTGATAAGAGACAATGCCCGCTCTACTATATTCCCATCAGTTTCTCACGTCTGCACTAGAATAGAATCCCTCATTTGGAGTAAAATGGCCAAAATTTGCTGTTCGAGCTGCCCAATCAAAATATACAAGGATTTTTTTACTCTTGATATACAATGCACAATAGGAGGTACAATAGTCAAGCCCCTTTGCAGCCATTACCATTTTTCAGCCTGAAGGAATTACAGTTTCTAAGCCTGAGGCTTCGATTCCAAGGAAAGAGCCCCATGAAGGGTTCTGTGGGGTATGAACTCAAAAACTAACCAAAATGCACTTGAGGAAACATAAGCCCCGAGCCCAGAAAGACTTCAGATTTGAGTTTAAAGCAATATATACTTTATGACTAAGATAACAAGTAATTACTATCGGGTTTTCTTGACGCTAACTAGTAGTTCTAACAAAATAACAGACAAAACTATCAATCAGTAGGAATAGGGAAAGGATCTTTACTGCCTATCACGTAATTCCATAGTTTAAAATATAATGACATTGTGCAGAGATACAATTGTACAAACAACAAACCAAGACCATCCTTTTTTGTTTTGAAGGACCAAGACTGTCCATTAATATACAGTCATATACCAGAAAAACATATCAAACATATATTAAGCAGAAAATTGGCATGACATGGCACGTCTCCAAATTAAAGCATTACAACTTAATCTAAGACTTTTTATTGGTGAATTGACATCTACAGATCGAGAATACCAGACTTTCTTTCATTCACAAACTGTAATAACATTATCCCCGTGTAAAATGGCAAGCAAGAATAAAAATTTCAAACCAATTGAAAAGAAATTAATCTCTTCATAGCTACAAATATTGCACTGTCCCAAACAAGATGCAAGAAAAGAAAAAATGGAGTCAAGGTTCCCGATTGGGGAAGTCTCCTCACAAACGACAGGCAGTTCGGAAGGCCGCAAAACTATTGCAACAAAAACTAAGGCAGCATACAAAAAATACAACCATTTTTTTCAGAAAATGGAAACTTGTAGATTCATTCCCATGGTTTGATCATTTTCCAGTAAAAGGAAAACCTGCCAAGAATTCTGGCAAAGGCAACGACAGCAGCCCCAGGAAAAATGTCTAGGCCGTCCAAGAACTTCATATAGCAAACCAAACACAACAAGTCACAACTATTTCTTAAACTACCATCCTTTCAAAGTTGAACTCAATTTCAATTAGCACATAAACATTTGCAGGATATATTTTACTACTCCATGCAGTCATGATCCTTCATTCCTTCTCATAATCCAAAAATTATATTCTCAATAATTGGAAAACTTAACTGATGAATTTAAAGAGAAAAAGTATTCCTATTCATAATATAATCTTCACCACATATCCTAACTTCAAATTAATTAAATCATATATTCATATCTTCAATCATTACTGATAATCCCAAAATATACATACAACCCGAGCATGACCCTCGAGGAGTGCCTTGTCTATCTAGCCATGACCGTCATGATCTCCTCGGGTTCGTCACCTCGGGAAGACTTATCCTCGCTCCATTAGGTCCTCCTCGAGGTTACGACTGAACCTCGTACCATGCAATCCCTGATTTATTAGGCATCTACTTCGTGACAAGACTTATCCAACTTAAAAATATTTGAATCCTGCTATTAATATGTTATACAAATCCAATCAAGTTGCAACTTCTAATCACAATAGAACTCCTAGGGATTTCAACAGTGTAATCCCACCAGAAATGCACTGCCTACATCTATAAATACAGCATTCCAATTCATTATTAAGATACTTTTTATATAATTTCAGCATATATTTTTCGCAAATTCTTTCTCCAATTTAAGCATCGGAGGGCAGCGATGACACATGTCATCACCTTTGTTTCAAGTACCAGAAGATCTGGTTCGTGCTTATTCTCAGCCATCAAGCTCAGAAATCAACATGTGTACGATTTTTGGTAGCATCAATTAACAAGAAGAATAGCAATCTAGAGCAAACACTTTAAAGCTAATTAAAAACAAAATAGTTCCTCAGAGTTAATAAAAAACCCACATGATAAAATTTAAATAACCCAATTTCCTCTTGAGTAATGGCAGTCCAAATATGTTTTTAATATCAAAATAGTACCAGCCATTTAATTTTTTAAAAAAAAAACAAAAGCACAAGAGAAA